GCTCTAAGAAGCAGAGAGAAGAAGCGCCTGAGAGGCGCAGAAGAGGCTGCCGGTGAGGTGTGCCAAGCAGGGCAGTGCCTGTCACAGAGGCCAGGGCCTGCAGGGGAGACGGAGTGGGAGCAGAGTCTCCTTCCCCTGCACCGCATTTCCACATTCCCAGAGCACCTCGCCTTACGCAGGCACTGAGCATTGGTGCCTGCTAAGCTCTGAGGGGTGACTGGTTAAAGGGAGCCAAGTCCCCCATTCTTTTGAGTTCCATGATGCTGAGAATCTGTTTTCCTCTTGGGCTCACAGAAGCTGTCCAAGAGCCTCAGCCCATTTTCTGTTGCTATAACTGAATACCACAGACTGGTGCTTTATAAAGAATAGGGGTTGGTTTGGCTCACAGTTCTGGAGGCTAGGAAGTCCAAGGAACATGGCTGCCTCTGCTCGGGGCCCGGTGAAGGCCTCTGCTGCACCCCCGCATGGCGGAGGCATCACCTGTGAGAACAGCGTGTGAGCTCAGGTCTCTCCTGCTTTCTAGTAAAGCCAATGGCGCCACAGTGCTGCCCCAAAGCCTCATCCAACCCCAGTGACCTTTCATGGCCCCACCTCCAAATACCATTAGCATGAACTTAGGGGTTCACGTTCCAACACAGGAAGTCGGGGGACACGTTCCTACCACAGCACAAGGTCTGGCGTAACTCCCCAACACCCACCAGAGTGGGGTGTGCTGTGAAGGACGTCCACTCCCGATGGATGGCTCAGGAGGGCCCTCCAGGCTCGGCTGCTGTCCGTGCTTGGCCACCTTGGGCACAGCGGCTCAGGCCTGGAGGGAGGAGAGGAAGTGTCAGCTTAGGACCTGAGGGGGCCTGGGTCCTGAGTGCCCAGATGGGTGACTCGCTGCGTGGCGTATGGGCGGAGGAAGGATTTGCCGGGAGTCAGCCGGCGGTGGTGGGGGAGCATCGGGGTCCTCTGCGGTGCGCTCTTAAGAATGTCTCACACCTGGGTGATCAAGGAAGGATGCTCCATTGGAGGCCTGGCCTTCCTGAGTCCACGGCTTTCGTTGGCCTCCGTCGGCACTTCCTAACCACTGGAATAAATGAGCACAACTGCTGGCCCATATCTACCGACCCCTTCTCTGGATTCCCAGAGCCCCCTCCTTGGTCTACAGAACACTCACCATGTATCAGCACTCCCAAGAAGGCAGCAACCCAGGCTGCTGCTCTGGGGTCCATGCAGAAGGAGCCGCCTGCCACTTTCCAGGATCACACCTGCTCCACGGCTCTAAGAACCCTGCTATGGTGTGGGTGTGAGGTGTCCCCAGAGGCTCACATGTGAGACAGTGCAAGAGGTTCTGAGGGGAGATGATCGGGACGTGGGTGTGTATCTGTGTCTGGCAAGGGGAGCCCGCTCCCTGCTTCCTGATCGTCAGTGAGCTGTTTCCCTCCGCCACACTCGTCCACACGCTCTCCCTGGACGTCTGGAGCCCTGAGGAGCAGAGCCCACTGTCTATGGCCTGAGGTCGACCTCTGAAACCGTGAGCCCTCAATAAACTCTAGTTGGGTCATTTAGTCACAGCAGCAAAGCAGCCGGCGAGAACACACTTGGACGGTCATCTTTGGAATTCAGCACGGGTCGTCTCTATGTGAAGTAGAACCGGGAGAGTGACAAGTCCAGCTCCACTTGACCTTGCTAATGCTGATGAAGTGAACTAGCAGAGAGGGGATTCCTGCCCCTGCCCGAGAGCCCTTGCCTTCCCTCCCAGGAGGGACATGTGACACCTGCTCCCCCTTAAGTCCCTGCAGAGACTAAGGGAGGTGCTGGGAGCACCACTGGAGGACTGTGTCAAAGAGCAATTCAGAGTTACCGCCCAGCTCCGGGGGGAGCTGGGCACTTAGCTTCCTCACCCGTGGAGACCACCTCCCACGGGGTCTTCGTCCAGAATGTCCCCAGCACAGTGTGACCGTGGCGGGTGTGTCTGGCCCTTGCTGGCCCTCCCTGGGTGCGAGCTCACGGGCACCTCCGGCCCTGGCCATTCTCTCTCTTGCCTGTGGTTGGAGCTGTCCCTTTGGTGGCTGGTTGTGTTTAGCTTTGGAGACAGCACACAAGAGTTGCATGTGGCTTCCAGAGCGCAAGTGATGCCCAGAGGATCTATGCCCCGGAGAATGGGATGACTCTCCACCGTGCGTCAGGCGTTTCTAAAATCGCCCCGCCTCTGTCAGGCTTCATGCTGCCGCCCTGCAGTCAGGAACACTCTGCTCCAGACCCGTCCGGTCCCTGCTCAGCAGAGGAACGTCGTCCCTGCCGTCCAGCACGGTGGTGGGGCCATACTCTGTGTTCTGCTTTTAGGAGGACAGGGTTGGTCACAGCACTGCAGATGTCCCACCCTTGGGGGACTAGCCCTGGCTTGCCAGCAGAGGCCCTGCACCTGGGGCGGGGGAGGCGGGGAAGCTTGGAGACTGTTTTCCAAGAGCAGACGCCCTCTCCCGGGACACTGTGGAGCTGCAGGATCTGGGAGTCGGGCGAGCCTTAGCAACCCGTTGTTGTGTTCTTCCTCTTAAACAGGCAGGTAATTCCAGGGCCGCCTCTCAGTCCTGGGTCAGTCTGACCCAGATCTGTGCTGAGCCCTGCTAGCAGGGCAACAGAGGGGAGTTAAAGGGACTGACCTCAACAGATGTTGTTGGGGTAAGTTATTATGTTACAGGCGCAAATTTCACCAGGTACCAGTGGAATCAAAGTTGCCTCCAAGCCTGCGCCCTGGTGTGGCCGCCAGGGTTTCCTTGTTCTCAACCGCAGAGGCGCAGGAGGCCAGGAAAAGACACTTTCACAAACCTGTTTCCGGTCAAGTCCTGTGGAACCCGGTGTTTCTTTCAGGCCTCAAAGCCCACAGTTCAACCCCCAGCTCTTCTTCCCGACATCCCAGGGAGCTCTCGGGCAGGGGGGCCACACGCCCAATTGAGGGACCCCATGAACAGGTAAGAGTCACTTTTCCTGACGCAGTTTACAGCCCTTTGCAGACCCCTCAGGGCCACAGGAGGGAGAACGTGAAGGCCAGGTGTTTAGGAGGCCCTGGAAATGCAGGGCAGGGCCCTGGGGACCCTGTGTAAGTCTCAGGAAGGCAGATGACGCTCCCTAGGGCACCAACTCTCAGGCCTTTCTGTGGAAACTGGAGACGAACATGATTGTGTGTCCGCAGCACTTGGGGCTGGGTGGAGCCAGCCATTCTCAATCAGCTTCATCTAACAAGGTGCTTGGCCAGTCGCCACTGTGGAGTGTCCCAGGGCGGTCTGCAAGGCCCCGTCTCAGGGTCATGGGGAGCAGTGCTTGGAGACATTGCCAGAGAAGACAAGGGGGAAGCTCCGAAGGCACTGTCCACCCAGTGCAGCGGTGCCCTGGGCAGTGGCATGGGACCACCCAGGGTGCAGCCTGCTAGCATCAGAGGGACCCAGGTCAGGGCCCTGGGGCCCAGACTTGTCAGTGGAAGGGAGGTGCCAGACATGGGCGCTGGAGAGGGTTCCAAGGAAGAGAGGTGAGACTGGCCATAGTCCTGGCTCAGGTGGGCAGGGGAGGCAGGGAAGAGCTCGAGGAGAGCAGCTCAGCTCACCCCGCCTCCGTGGCCCTGGTCTTCACCCTGTTCCCCAGGTCAAAGTGGTGGTGTGTTCAGCCCTGGAAGAGCCAACGTGTCAGGCAGGGGGAAGGACCACCTACTGGGGTCCTTGTCTTGGGGGCATTGCAAGGTCCACGGTGCCCTGCTGAGCTCCGAGGCTGGCACTAATACTGCTGGGGAAAGTGGGAGGCCCGCACAGAGCGCAGGACACAGACCTCGCCTGCCTGCCCAGCACCTGCCTCGGCCTCCCACCTGGAACCCAGATGACTTCTTGCAGTTTATGCAGCCCTGGATTCACCAGAGGGCAGATGCAGGCTGGAAATGCCAGACCCAGTCCTTTTCCCTCACCCAGCCTTCAAGGCCGTCCACACCCCCACGGCCATGTCAGGTCGGGCAGGAGGGAGTGACCAGGTGGCCGCTGGGAAAGCCGAACTTTGTGGCGATCCAGCATGTTCTAGCCCAAGCTTCAGGGAAGCCGTAGGCAGGGGTCAGGGGTAAAAGGGGTCAGTTTCTGGGAGAATGAAACTGCCAAAAGGCCAGGAGAGTGAAGGGCTTTGATGGAGGGTGAGTGGGAGAGGCTGCTGCCCTCAGACACTGGGGGAGTCCTGTGGTCCAGCCTTACCCTCTGCCTTCTCTCCAGTTCCACCTCCAGCCCTGGAGTGGAGCCCAGGCAGCACTGAGGGGGAGGAGGAGAGTGTGTGACCAGAGACCTTCCTGGAGTGTGCATGTGTGTGTTGCACACTCCAGGACTTCCTGACCCTCACCAGGACCTCCTGACCCTCACCAGGACCTCCTGACCCTCACCAGGACATCCTGACCCTCACCAGTACTTCCTGACCCTCAACAAGACCTCCTGACCCTCACCAGGACATCCTGACCCTCACCAGGACTTTCTGACCCTCACCAAGACCTCCTGACCCTCACCAAGACCTCCTGACCCTCACCAGGACATCCTGACCCTCACCAGTACTTCCTGACCCTCACCAGGACCTCCTGACCCTCACCAGGACCTCCTGACCCTCACCAGTACTTCCTGACCCTCACCAGGACCTCCTGACCCTCACCAGGACCTCCTGACCCTCA